ATCATACAGTCATCTTCCTAATATCTGTTATATTTTCAGACTAATATTTAGTTAGTTGATAAATATCTTCATACTATTATCCATTTTCCATTTCTTGACTTAGAAATGGTTGCATGAACTTGATTTTACTTAACAATGTTCTTTATAAGTCATCTAACTTCAAGACAGCTGCACTATAGTAAAATTTCTGGCCTTTCTATGATCATAAATAAATGACAAAGTTTCAGAATAAAGTGTACAGCACAGATATCAAAGATGACAAGAATGATCTGTATGATTCATGCATCTTATAATAAGATATCAATCTTAGCTTACAAATCTCAGGTAGAACTTAGGAATGTTTATATGACTTACTTATCAGATTTGTGTCCTTTTGCCAACTTACCATTTTTATCAAATGGTGAGCACAGATAAACTACCTAATTAAGGATTGTCCCTGTAAGATATGATACCCCACAGGACAAACGGAACAGCTCAAATTCATGTTCCCATTCCTTTTAATTAAATGTATTCTTATATCTCAGTTACAGAAAATTAACTGCCTATGATTAAAAAAATACATTATTTGGGTTTGTTTGTTTGTTTCTTTTGTAACATAAATACTTAAACTTGAAGTCAGGTGTCAAACAAATAAAACATTTGCTCCATCAACCAAGGGTCTGATCTAGGTGAGGACACATGCACTCTGGTGCCTAGAGGATAAGCAGGTAACATCAGGGAGCAATTGGCAGGATGTGAAGGGAAGCCATAGGGGTCTCGCCTTCCCCCTCTCTGGAGGGGACTCTTCCACATGGGAGTGCACACCAAATGTATCCAGACTCTGATACCACAAGAGAAAATGGGAAAGTGGATGTATGCCTATCTCATGAATTACATGATATCTAATTCTGATATTGACAACTCATTTTTATAATATTAAATATTTTGCAAACTAGCCCTAGCAATTGTCTGACCTCAACTTTTCAAGTTTTTGATTTGTAGCATTCTTTTAGATTGAAATAACTGATAGATTTGGGAAATATATAGCTATGGCATTAATAATCCTGCCTGGAAAATAACAAGAGAAAAAAACATGTTTTAAAACTATGGCGCTTGCAAATCATGTAAGGTGATCTATTGTCTCAAAACTGCATGGTAAACAATTCTAGCATGGGAATCTATGTTTAAGTTTTGCAGTTTCTTTCTTTTAAGTGTAAGTTTAAGTTTCTTTTCTTTCTTTCTTAAAAGAAAGAAAAGTTAAATATTGAATATAATGTTAAGAATTTTCCTAGCCAGGCTCAGTGGCTCAGCCTGTAATCCTGCGCCTTTGGGAGGCTTGATGTAAGTGGACTGCCTGAGCCCGCGAGTTCAAGACCCGCCTGGGCAGGCGAGACCTCATCTCTACAATAAATCAAAAAAAATTAGCCAGGCATGGTTGTGCGCGCCTGTAATTCCGGTTACTCGGAAGGCTGAGGTGGAAGGATCGTTGGAGCCCAGTATGTCGAGGCTGCGGTGGCCGGGAGCGGCCACTGCACTCCAGTCTGGGCGACAGAGTGAGGCTCCAACTCAAAAAATAAAAAATAAAAAAATAAAGAATTTTCCAAGTGGGGTGACCTCACAAGTGTGGAGTGGTAACTGAGACAGACCAATGAACTGACTGCCAAGGGCCTGAGATACAGAATTATGTTATATTTTTCTTATTGACTCAGCTATTATTATCAAGATAATTTTTAAAATGGAAATAACAATATAATAACCAAGTTTTAAGTGATGATCAGGGATGGAGTATTCACATTTCAGTAGGATATAGTTAATGGAGATTGGGAGGAAACCGAGACCAGGCACACTGGAATACGAGAGAGAAGCGAAGAATTCACAATAAAGACTATTCAGATTTTGATTCGTGCATAGGGCCCAGCCAGCAATGCCACAAAAGGAAGGTACACTGGAGCCAAAACCCTCCTCCCTCCTTCCTTTGGGGACTCCTCAGGGCTCCCCTTGTTGTGCCTCCTCAACCGCTCCATGCACCCACCCACCTGAAATTTATTATCTGCTTGGGGCAATTTCTCACTTGCTTAAAATCCTTCAATGACTTCATATTGAACTAGAAAAAACCTGAATATGTCACAGCCAGATACCCAAACATCCTGAATCCCGCGAGCCTCTGTAATCTGACACTTCCCGAATTCAGGCTGCCTTCCGCTGTTGCTTGGCTATGTCAGATTCTTGTCACCTGGAATGTTTTACCTTGCACTTTACAAGTTAGGCCTCCTCCCTGTCTTTCAACTTTCAGTGGCAGTCCCCATGGCAGCAGTGTCTCCCTGTTCTTCCATCTAAACATCACTCCAATTGTTTCCTCTAAGGTCTGGGCAATCTGTAGCATCTGTGTCTGCAACTTCAAAACAATCTCCCAAACATGACTTTTTGCCTCTCATCTCACTCTGTTTGTCCAACCTGTTTCCTGCTTCCACAGAAGCCCATAATCTACTGTATACTAGATTAAAATTTTAAAATACATCTATGGCCATAGCAATTCCCACTTGAAACCCTGTGATTGTTTCTTATTGTCCTCCAGAGTTCCTAACTATTTTAGTACAGTCTTCTTTGGCATTTTGGTGAAGACCTTCTCAAACTAATGTCTTAAAGCATAAAATAAAATACACAGGATTACAAAGAAAACCACCCAAATGCAAGCACACTTATAAAGTGTGATGAAAGTCAAAATGGTGTAGTGTTGTGTGTGTTATTTCACTAAACAGCAGGTGACAGGTCTAGTAACTGATACAACGTCTAAATATTGCACAGCAGTATTTGGAGATATCTGAAATAAAGGTAAGAAAACATGGAATTATCTAGGAGTTGGTGACGAAGTCACGGGTTATGCTCATACTGCATTAACATCATTGCCTGTGTTCAAAGCTTCGGGAAATGCTAAATATTAATTAAAGGTTAGGGAGAAAATATAAAAATATTTTAATGTATATATTTACCATCCAAGTAGTGGATTTTTTAAATTCTTTCCTCAGGGCCCCAGGACGATTGGTGTAGAGACTTAAACTCATATTTTTAAAATAGGATGCAAATTACTCACAATCAAGTGTCATCACCCCCACAGGTTCATGTACAAACGCACCTGTCATCTTTGGCTGTGGTAATTCCTCCCCCAGCCACAGCAAGTGGGTCCAGCACAGGCCTCCAGGTCCTGTTCATATGGAACCTCCCCAGGGAAAATCTGCTACATGTGCCTAGTCAGCAAGCTACAGAATATAATTTTCCCTCCCCCATGTTCCTTCAGACTTCTGCAAATACCTCAGTTGTAGAAATCCTTGTATTGAATTTTAATTTTTTAATAAAAAATCAAGTTTTCCTTCTAAATTACAGCATGGTTTTACACAACAGACATGCCATACTTTAATTCCTACTGCTTGGTCCAAAAATGGAATTCATGTGCTAGTCTAATTAATGGATAGCCTTCAAGAAAAATTGACTTAAATTACAATTAAATGGCTTTGGATAACAGAGAACTTAATAAGTTATAAAATACTACAGTGATATCACATTTAAGAATTGAAATGATGAAACACTGATCTATACTCTGAATCTAAGCTAATTTGATTTTAAAAAGTGACATTTTTATTAGTTTGATCTCTTCGGATCTAGAGAGTGTTGACACTCCAGACATCACAGTGTGTGAAAAAGAGAGAGAGGGAAGGAGGAAAAGAGGAAGGAAGGAAGGGAGGGAGGAAAGGAAAGAGAGACACTTGAATATATTTGAAATGTTATTGGGGAAAAAAATCTCATAGAGAAGTAGTAGCTGAAAATGTAGAAGATATTCTCTACTTAATGTCTCTAAAAGGATAGAAAAAGTGGTACCTAGAGCATGGGGTATGTTACCTTTAAAGTAAAAGGAGCATTCTCTTCCTTTTGAAAAAATAAAGAGCAGAAATAGGTGAATGCATGGGTAGACCTACACCCACTTTGTGGTAGGAATTTGCCTCTCCTGTGATGTTCTCTCTCGTTCTCTCTCATTCTCTCTCTCAATGTCTGTGGACATAAATGCTCACTTGTCTAGCCTTTAGTCTTTAGTTTTCCTTTTTTTCCTTCTACCTTGATTCTTATTTCAACAGACCCCACTTCTGATAGTCTACAGTTATATTTTATATTTTAGGTGAGATTTAAGTAACAATGTCTAAGGGCTTAACATAAAATGCTGACCTCTTTCAGTAATAAAATATTAAAGCTGTTTCTGAAGCCATTCTGTGAAGTTAAGGAAAGACAATGATTTCGTCATGTTTAAAACAAAAATAAAAACAACAACAACAAAAACTTAGGTCCTAGATTGATTTGACCTTTTCAACTTCATTTGATTTAGCAATATTCAAGAAAAGGCCATAGAAAGTATTTTGTATGAAATGAAAATGTTGAACTTCTTCACATGTCAAAAATGCTTTGATCATGGTTGATTCAAACTTTTCTTGACCATTGCATATTTGAATGGAAGAAAAAAGGATAAAGTTCAATCACCATCTTTTTCCTCTTTTTCTGGCATAATTTGAATAAGACTTGAACAGTACAAGTAGCCTTTATCTTGTACTGAGACAAAGTATAAATACCCAAGAGCCCACCTGACCTACTTCCTTTATGGATTGACTCCCTGTTCCATGGGACTCTCTATGTCCTGAAAGGACAAGAGCTAAGAGGACCACAGTGACAAAGGAGAAGTCTATGTGATGGTGAGAATCCTAGGCTCAGCAGGTGTGTGATGATGACCACAGGTCACACAGTGGGAAGGTGAGATGGTGGAAGGGGAGAGGGTGGAATGGGAGAGCTGTACCTGGTCATACCCTTGTGTCTGTAACCCTACCTGTATGTCAAAACAGCCAGGGCTCCACTACCAATCAGAAACCAACACTTCACTCAAAATTATTCCAGTTAGGCAAGTTTTCAACCAGTTAGGGAGATTCATATTTAAATGCAATTTAAATGTAAGAAGTATATCTAGATTTCTTTTGATTGTTTACCTTGGTAAGCAAGTTTAAATCCTTGACGGTTTTGTGAGTGGTCGCTGTAAAAGTGGATGAGCGTTTCATGCGTGGTGCTCAGCAGAGCAGAGGGTAGATCTGTGCCACTGAACTGCCCGATCATAGGACTCGTGTGGTAGGGTCCATTCTGAATTTCAAGGTAATCATGATTGGCTTCAGTAGAAAAATTCAGAAACTGAATATGTGCACCTATGGAAAAATATAGAGACTTCGTGAGAGTTCACACCAAAAGGCTTATAACAAAGTGAGTACAATTTAACCAGTCTTCCCAAGCAATCTCCCTCTCTGAGATAGAACTGTGCCCTAGAAAGAAACACGTACTCTACATCACAGCAGACTATGGTCCAATTTCACACCCTCTACTACTCACTGTGTGATCTGTGTCCACATATGTGGTATCTGTAAGTCAATCTATCTGTAAAATATGAATATACCTGCTCTGCACCACAGAGATACTCAGATGTTTCTTAGAATGGTGATTAGTACACATACTCATGTGAATGATCTTGTCCAATAGCTCTTCCAATTATTAAAACCATAAACACAAGACTGTGATTATATGCTACATCATCCACCAGTTAGTTTATGGCTTTACCAAGAAAGAAGCCAATTTTTGTTTTTAAAACATGCAAAACACTTTTAAAGTGGCATTCAAGCTAACTAGAGAGTCATGCCATTGCACAAAAGACTTATTAGTTTAGCAAGCTTCTTTTCCATTGTGTAATTCAAAACAAACTATTGTTGCTTGTGAGAAACAGAGCACAACAAATGCCACTATAACTTCCAGCATTAGTTCTAACAGCCTGGCACGGTTCAACATACCAAGGACTTAAAATGACTAAAATTACTGGTATCATATTAATCTGTGGACTAAGTAAGCTATGGCTTATCAGCCTGCTCATAGCTCTTCCAGCGTGTTCTTCCAGTACAGAAGAAAAATTTTCCTTTGCATTGTTCTTCTTCTGTTTTTGGTCTGTGACAAGAGATTTATTTTATTCCTCATCTTAGATATTATGTTTCCTAGGAAAGATAAATTAAAGATAATGCTTACACAGACTACCAATCTTAAGTGTAAATTCAGAAACAATTAGAAAAATGCAGTTATCAAAGGTCAGAGTGGAACTCAAACATAATGAAAATACAGTTATCAAAGGTCAGAGTGGAACTCAAACCTAATGAAAAGAAAAAAAAAGCAGCACTGTTAAAAAGTGGACAAAAGATATGAATAGACACCTCTCAAAAGAAGACAAACAAGCAATCAACAAATACATGAAAAAATGCTGAGCCTCACTAATCATCAAAGAAATGCAAATTAAAACTACACTGAGGTACCACCTAACTCTAGTCAGGAGGACCATTACCAATAATTCAAAAAACAACAGATGCTGGAGAGGATGTTGGGGAAAGGGAATACTTCTACATTGTTAGTGGGAATGTAAACTAATATAACCTCTGTGGAAAGCTGTATGGTGATTCCTGAAAGATCTAAACATTGACCTCCCATAAGACACAACAATCCCCCTTCTGAGAATATACTCAGAGGACCTCAAATCATTCTACAAAACAGATACCTGTGTACACATATTTATTGCAGCACTAGTCACAATAGCAAAAATACAGAACCAACCCTGCTGTCCATCAAAAGTAGACAGGATTTTTTTTAATGTGGTACATATACACAGTGAAATATTACACAGCCATAAAGAAGGACAAAATTATGAACTTCTCAGCTACTTGGATGGATTTATAGTCTGTAAGATTCAGTAATCTATCCCAGAAAAAAAGAATTGAGTACCACATGTTCTCACTCATAAGCAGACCCTAAACAATTATCATAATACTATTTTAAAAAAAGGTGCTGGCAATAGCAGGAGACTTCCAGGGGAAGGAGTAGGGGGACACACTTCATCAATAAGTGTACCAGATCTCAAACCAGGTGATATAGAGACCAAACTTCACTTCTACCTGTACCATGACCGTTTGAATACCTAACCCTGAATTGTACCCAGCATCTTTAAAATAAATTTAGAAAAGAAAAATAGGAGATAAGCTCAAGCAAAACAAACAAACAAACAAACAAACAAACACAAAACTGCAGGTGAGGAAAACCTAAAGTACTCAATGAAGTTTAAAGTCATATAATAAAAAGCAATTTTATTAGATGTGAAAACATCTTTGTAAGGAGAAACAAAAGAATAAATAGTACCCTGTCTGGCTGGATGTAGTATGTCCCAATGAACGTGCACTGTGTCTAATTTGTCAACTCACTTGATTCCCAGCATGAATCTTTATTATCATCACAATCTTAAAGGTGACAAACTAAGGTACAAAAATGTTAGATACCATATCCCATGTGACACAGGGAAAGACAGAGTGGGGTTTCCACTCAACTCAGATTGACAGAATCCTCACTTTCTCTGATTTGGTATGCAAATAAGTTAGACAAGAGTTAACAATTCCATAATGTCAAAAGCACTGCTTCTTCAAGAAAATCACTTTGTATTAAATTTGTTCAATCCAGATTGAAAGAGAATGAATAAAAGGAAGTAGAATTTAAAAATGGGCAAAAGACATGAACAGACACCTCTCAAAAGATGACATACAAGCAGATGACAGACACATGAAAAAATACTCAGCCTCACTAGTCATCAGAGAAATGCAAATCAAAACTACTGTGAGATACCACCTAATTCTGGTAAAGATGGTTATCATTAATAAGTCAAAGAACAACAGGTGCTGGCATAGCTGCAGAGAAAAGGGATTGCTTCCACACTGTTGATAGGAATGTAAGTTTGTTCAACCACTACGGAAAGCAGTGTGGTGATTTCTAAAAGAACTAAAAATTGTTCTTCCAAATGATCCAGCAGTTCCTCTCCTGGAAATATACCTGGAGGAACCTAAATCGCTCTACCAAAAAGACACATGCCCATGCTTGTTCATTGCTATTCACAATAGCAAAAACATGAAGCCAAGCAGGTGCCCATCAGAAGTGGATCGGATAAGGAAAATGTGGTACATATATATGATGGAGTATTATGCAGCCATGAAAAAGAACAAAAGCATGGCCTTCTCAGCAACCTATAAGCTGTTGGAGACCATTATACTAGTGAACTGTCACAGAAACAAAAAACTGAATACCGCGTGTTCTCACTCATAAGTGGGCCATGAACACTAGACACATTAGCACAAGGATGGGATCGGAAGTTGCTGGGCACTGCTGGGTGGTGGGGGGAGGGAAGAAGGAAGGCATGTAGGAGACATGTGACAACACAATGGGCATCTGGCCCAATACTAGGGAGAGTGACGGCCACCTAGAAGTTCAAACTTCACCTGCATGCAGCCTATTTATGTAGTTAATCCTCACTTGTATCCCACAGCACTATAATAAATAAACAAATCATTTTTTAAAACTTCAGGAAGAGGCTAAAGAAGCAAAAAGAAAGATTTTTTTAAATGTTTAGCAAATCAACCAAAATCTAGAAATTGTTTTACAATGAGTCATTAGACTCACATTACACAGCCCAAGTCCATGTGCCCATAGTACATCATCAGTTGGGTAAGGAATGTCCCAGTCTATGGTGTCTTGGTCATCCTAACATCTGCTATGTATCATCAAGATGGAATAGTGCTTTAAGTTTAAAACTTTTCTGCAAATATTTGACAATGACAAATATTGCTCTTTGTTAAACAGCCATCAGTGAGCTTCTTTTTCCCCTAAAATTTAGCAAATATTTTTAATCAAAAGAAATTCAGATGTGAAGAAGAAAAAAAGAGAGAGAGAGAGTAAGGGAGACAGAAAGAGTGAGTGGCTCCCCTGTGTTCCTGGGTTCTGAACTGTCTCCTGTACCCTGCATAGCAGTTGAGCTACTCTTAGAACATCTAACTTGTTTCCCTACCCATTGCTGATCTAAAAACCCTTTTGACTGGGCATGGTGGTACAGGCCTGTAATCCTAGCATTTTGACAAGCTGAAAGAGAAGAATTGCTAGAGCCCAGGATTTTGAGAGCAGACAGAGCCACATAGCGATCGCTACAAAAATTTTAAAAAGTAAAACTGAAAAGCAAACATTTTTATTTTGTGGCATGGGCCACACTAGAAAATAAGGTTTTTTGGCAACTAAATAAATTACACTAGAAAAAGAGAGAGAGTGTATGTCTACTTTTGGAACATGAAACTCATGTCTTCTACAGAGCTTCATAAACAACTCTTACATTTGTCATGACCAAGTAGAAACAAAAAGCCCACACCAGAGAAATTAGAAACAACCTGTGAATTGCTGACCTTTCTATTCATGTCCAAAAAGTACCACAAAAGAAAACTAGGGCAAGATTAAAACATTTTAAAATCAAATGGAAGGAAGATGGTTTGCAGTCTGCTCATTTCGGATGTGCACATGTGGACTTTAGATGTATTTATCCAGAGACACATTTTGAAATTCATGGAATGGCACAGTCACAGAAGATGAAAGACAGCAAGCAGATCAAGGAGTGAAAAAATTGAAGGTGGCCAATGTCTCAAAAGTATAGGATATAGTGAAAGTGGCTCTTTGCTGATTTGAAATTAAACTTGAAATGGAAATGGGATTATGACAATTATAATACTATGAACAAAATTACCATTTTAAGCAGGATAAATTATACAGTCACATATCAAATCACTTAATACATATCAGGAAATAGAACAGAGCCCAGCTCTAATCTGGCTTAAAAGATAATTATTTAGCTATCGAATTTTCAGTGAATTGTATCCAGTTTGACATTGTAAAGCCCAAATGAAGGGGCTTAAAATAAGCATAAACTATTATCTCACAGAGTGCTAAAAACAAATGCATTATTACAAAAGAAAGTTAATCTTTTGCTTATCTTGGGTGGAATTTACACAGCACATCCTCATCAGATTGTGGTTACAAATTGAGAATTAAGTGCCAGTGAAGAGGCACCTGAAAAAAGGAATTTTGCTTTGGGGCTTTGACAAACTTTAAATAGTGATATGACTGTGATTTCAAAGTTAGAATCTCATTTTTAGTTAATGGAGCCAGTGAATGTTAAGTGTTCTTTTTTGCATTTTCTGTGTGTGATAGACATCTCACAAAAGAGCTAACAGCTATTGAATTCATTGAACATTCTTAAGTGTCTTGAAGATCATCTCTATGCTTCCAGATGGTCCACTAACATAGTGATTTCAGGCAG